TATATATATATATATAAAAAGAATCTATTTACATAAATTTTAGTAAATTTATTTTATTCAATGAATCATTTTGTATTAAATTTTAATGATTTAATTGTTAAATTAAAAAATTATAATATATAAATTAAATTTATAAATTATTAAAAATTTTAAAAATTATATGATAGGCCGTTATATTGATAAATTTCTTAATCTATATAATCTATATATGTTTATAGATGGATGGAGATGATGATCTCAAAACTCAAAACGGATCATAAAAGGCTAGCTTTTAGGAATAAAAAAAAACTAGGCTATTATTTTATAAACCAAATCTACCAATAAATAAAATATCAAAGGCAGAAAATTCTATGATAATGGAATCTTTCAGAATGCTTTGGAGCCGGTTATGAGTCAGCAGACACTTGAGTTTCATTGGGGGAAGCACCACAAGACTTATGTGGAAAATCTGAAAAAACAAGTTGTTGGGACAGAGCTTGATGGAAAGACACTAGAAGAGATCATAGTCACATCATACAATAAGGGTGACATTCTTCCACCTTTCAACAATGCAGCACAGGCATGCATGCTTATAACCAGAATCTCTTATTCATGATTCAAAACCATGGCTTAGTAATTAATTAATCTTGTAATGCATGGTGCAGGTGTGGAACCATGACTTCTTCTGGGAGTGCATGAAACCAGGTGGAGGTGGAGAGCCATCTGGGGAACTTCTGGAACTTATTGAAAGAGACTTTGGTTCATTTGAAAAATTCCTGGCTGAGTTTAAGGCTGCTGCTGCAACACAATTTGGTTCAGGATGGGCTTGGCTTGCATGTGAGTAACAACCCTTTCCACCTTACTCAGTGTGCAAATCCCTCTTGTTCACTCATTTCTTATTGATGGAAATTATGGAATATAGATAGAGCAAGCAAATTTGATGCGGAAAATGCAGAAAATCCTCCTTCACCAGATGAGGACAACAAGCTAGTGGTGATCAAGAGTCCTAATGCTGTGAACCCCCTTGTTTGGGGATGTTATTATGTAAGTAGTAAGAATTATTAATAATATTCATTATTCATTACTTGTCTTGAAACATGAATGAGGTTTATTCACCTGATAAATTCTGATGTGAGTTCATGTTAATTTCTTGCAGCCACTTCTTACCATTGATGTTTGGGAGGTATAATCAAATTTGCTTACTGTTTGTCATTTGATTAAACAATTTGCACACACAAGTTTGGTAACAGCCATTAATAACCACTTGCTAACTTTGTAATATTCTTTTCATTTTTGTGCAGCATGCTTACTACCTTGATTTTCAGGTAATATGTTGCTCCAGGCATACAGTTATGAAATGCTAATAACACACTCTTTACTACTTTTTCCGATGCACCTTTTTTTATTGGTAGAAATTCATCTATGTCTTATTAGCTTGTGAATGAGACCTACCAATTAGGAAATAAGAGGTGCATATCTAGATTAAAAAAAAGTGTGACAAAGTGTGTTACTAACATTACTAAGAGTTGTATCCAATAGATAAATTTATTCATAATTTTTTTTTTTGTTATCTTTCCAGAACCGGCGTCCTGATTATATATCAGTGTTCATGGATAAGCTTGTTTCCTGGGATGCAGTGAGCTCTAGACTTGAAGAAGCTAAGGCTTTAATTACCAGTACATGATGCTAAATTGGATGAAGAATAAGTTATTTACCCTGGTAGTGATGATGAATTGGATGGCGTGATAAGGAAGAGTGAACTATTTTTAGTTAGAAAGTGTAACATGGCACATCCTTTAAACTTAAGACAGTATCAGGTTTAAATCACTTCAGACTGCAGATTATGTATTGTATGGTCAGAAATCTTAGTTTTGGTTCTCTTTGCAACTACGTGAATTGTTAACAATAAGATTGCTTATTGCTTATGCATGAACAATCAACAAAATAATGCTATGGTGTAGAACTTTTTCACATTACTTTTATGAGAGTATCTTCTTTTCCATGAGCATGATTGAATAAGTAAATTCCTAAGAAGTTGAAGGTTTTAGTTTCTCCATTTTACCCAATTTTATAGTATACATTCTAAATTTATAGTGTCACAAAGTGTTTAAATCAGGCATTTTACTCAAAATGTATGCGTAGAATTTAATTTTTATGTACATAAATGATGCATCAGTGCCCATAAAAGAAAAACGTAAAAAAAAAAAATCTTGGAATAACACAATTTTAAATCCATAACTACATATGTAATCTGCTTGGAGGCACTCTCGTTGAAGGCTCTTTTTTCTTTTTCTAATTTAGAAAATTAATTTCTTGTACCTTTTAATGAAAAACGCATATTTCAATATAAATACTATATAATATGTGGTTCAGATTAATTTTGACAAAAAATTTTGGTATAAACACTTAAGACTTAATCAAATAACACCAAAAAAATCATGTAAAACAGTATTACAAGATTCTATGCCCACCCACAAGTACACTTTGGCTGCACTGTTGCAGAACTGTAATGGATTCAGACTACTATTACAAAAGCAGAAGTGGAATGAATCCAGGCACACTTGGTATATATATCAATATTGCAGTATATTGATATTGAGACAAAATTTTGGTATATTTTATCATGCATTCAAGCTTTCAAACACAAAGCATAAAGTTATAATATTGCAAAGCGATCAAAATACAGGTGAATAGTTCTTTAAAATCACAATCTGTGTAGCTTCTTCTATACATTGAACAACTACTGTTATTCTCAATGTTGACTAGTTGTTTCTCAAACAGCCGTTGATCCAAGCCAGTGTTTTGATCGGAAGCAAAATAATCCACAAACCTTTAACATGCTATATAAATTGTTGGAAACTTAAAATTCTATCTATAAATGCCCCTGAACAAAGGGCGTTTTAGAAGGATACTAGTTTCAATACATACATTATAGGAACTGGAAAACTGCCAAATCTAGAATGATCTAATGAGCTTTAAACTGAACTTGAGGTCCAAATGAGAAATATAACTGTAGATAAAACAGGGTTACTATATGTATGCTTTCAAAGTAGAAAAAACAAGGGTCATAAATTAGAGACTGAAAGTTCATTCCAAATATCGTCCATGTCTAAGGAGGGCATTCTACTTAACTGAACAGTTTCCAAATCTGACATCTCATGGAGTGTACTTTTGCTTCTCTCACTTATCTCAGCTCCAACCCTTATGGTTGAATTTGAATCCTTTCCACTTATACTTGTCAATATTCCATTCTCATCAGTGTGCTTAATTCTTGACCCTGCTAGTGAGACATTGGACTTCTTATGAGAAGAAACACCTTGTGAAATTGCTTGTAGTTTTGCCTCCACAAGTGCAGCAGTGGTTCCATTCAGAGAATTGGCTTGAATCACATGCTTGAGATCTGGGAAGTTCAACTGAGCATATTCTCCTCTTAGTATGTATGCTGCTGTGTCATATGCAATGGCAGCATCTTCAGCAGTGTCAAAAGTCCCTAGCCAAACCCTTGTCCTGTTTCTTGGTAATCTAATCTCAGCCACCCATTTCCCCCAGTGTCTCTGCCTCACCCCTTTAAACACCTTCCCTCTTCCACCATACTTCATAGGCTGAGTCCTAGTGCTACTCAACCAATTCTTGTTCATTTTGTGTGCATCACTACATGCTTGATGCTGGTTTTGGCCAAACTGAGACACATGATATGTGGAATCTGAAGTTGCTGACATGACTTCACCACCTTTGATACTTGACGATGATGAGTACATCATGGAGGGTTCCTGCAAAAACAAAGTCAAGTTTGGAAAATTTGTTGGTGTGGCAGAAGATGATGATACTAGAGAAACCACTGGCTCATCAAAACATGGTCCTATAGTTAATGGAGGGAGAGTTTCCAAGAGATTTAGAGGAATGGAGCTGTTTTTCATGTCTGGGACTGGGAAGATAGAATTGGATTGGTTGTTCTCTTTGCCATTCTTGATGTCTTCATGGCCATTGAATTTTGAAGGGATATGACTAATCCATGTGTCTTCTTTCATTGAAGTATAACTTGAACATGGAAAAGGCTTCTCAGGTGATGATGCTATTGATGAGTTTACCCCACTTCTTAAGGCATGAAGATGGTTAGAGGCAGTGAGAGAGTGAGAACCTCTTATTATTGCACTGTCCAAAAACTTTGATCTTGTTGCCATTTCTTGCAAACAAGTTGGAAATTTCTTGAGTGAAGATTTCCTTCTTGGGAAACGTATCCTTAATATAGAACCTTCAGACAGTAAATCCGAGATAAAACACTGACAGATAGAAATGATTGAAATGCATGCACTGCACTAAATACATTTCCTTAGGGCTAAGGCACATCTCATATTGACAGGTATCAGTTAAGTTTTATTATTATTATAATACTAAAAGAAACCTACTTTGTGTTTCATTAGGAGTATTCTTTTCGATGAATATGATCTATACAAAGTTCACGATTAAAGATTAATCTATGTTCTTGAAACGTAATTTTTGTTAACTAAACATTATTTTAACACTAAAAAATCGATTTTGAAAACATCAAATCAAGATGTGTTCCAAAGAAAACCTCACAACCATTAAGACAAAAAGTTTGGTTTCTTTCATTAGGAATTTATTGTGGCTTCAATAAGGTATATTTCTTTATAAGGATTTCATTTTCTACTTAAAAATTATGCTTGCATTCTATAACATGCTTATCCTTCACAACCAATGGGAATCAGACAGCTCAAGCTTTTTTCTGGATCAGCTGTATACAGGGTGCAAAGCTTGAGAATTGACATTCGTTTAATGACAAGAACTACCTTAATTTAACACCTTCATGTTCTTTGTTATTATCCCGGGTATTATTCTTTTTTCTCATTAATAATCATGTGGTTTTGTTGAACACCCACATGCTATTATGCTATATTCTTCTCTTGACTGATAATGTAATTTAATACGACAATCCATGAACGAAGCACAATTTTTTTTTTTTGGTCACTGATACATTTCATAGACAAAGGGCATGATAAAAAGCGGTGAATTTATTTCAAAAAAAATAGAGAAACACTTATCTCCTAGTTGAAATGTCTTTCTATTCTTTTTCATCTCACAAAAAAACCGGAAAGTCAATGTACCGAGAGGGGTTAACTTTTTTAAATAGATGTTTTCATATACACCTACCTATAGACTGAACCATTGTTTAGATGCTTAACCAACATAGTTATTTATCAACCATATCATACCATGTTGGTTGAAATATCTTTCTAAAATCACCAACTGATGTGGTAAACTACACAATTTTTGCTCTTTAAAATGTATTGATTTGGAAGGCTTGGCGGTGCAATTGATTAACAAAGGTTAATGATTTGTTTTTTTCCTCTTTGGTGGAAACAAAGGTTTATTATCTACATTATCATGTACAAGAATACTATATTTATCAAGGATTTAATTTTAATATCCTTGGTGGTAGTTTGATGAAGTCATTGCAAACTTTTCCTGGCCTAGTATTAAACAATTCCTTAAAGAGCGTGAGCAAAGCAAAGTGAGCACTTTATGCATTTTCTTTTCAGCCTCCACTTCGGTGTCTTTTGAGAATGGCTTAAGACACTGAAAACGGTTCATATGGTTGATGCAAAAATGAAAGTGTACCTGAAGCTAATGCCACCATTTTTGAGGCTACAATTATTAAAACTGCACCTCATTGGGATTCATTGCTCTAATTTGAAGCCACCCCATTTGTTTCATGCCACATGGCATGACCACTCTAAGGTAGTAAACACCATTTTTTTAAATGTTCATATGTGAGACAGATTCTTGGCATCTTTCACTCTTGATGTAACTTTTTAATAGCACTTTATACCATTTACAATAGGTTCTTCAAATTGTGTAGCTGTTTTCTCAATTACTTTATAAACCATGCACATGGTTCTGACCAGGAAAGAGCGTAATGTATACCACAAACTAAAATTGCTTAGTAAAATAAACAGGACAGAGGGTCATGCATCTGATGTTGCTTTAGTTAGCTGTCAACTTTTCACACATCAACCATGATTCTTAATTCCTTGCCTTGTTTTGTACCTCAGCATGATAATTGATAATCAAGATCAGATTAATTAAAAATGACTCTCTTCCACATCAGCTCTGCCTAAACTCAGGATCATGGTCTTGCAGTTTGTCTAGTTGATTGAAATAAAGATGTGGCTTGGTTGGCTCTTCATCACTTGATGAGACATTAAAATTTCAAAAGTTAACATAAATAAATGCAAATGCAACTAAGTACTATAACTTATTTAATTATCATAGTATTTTGTATTAATATGAAGCTTTATAAAATAAAAATATTTATATGTAAACAAAGAGTATTTAAATTTTATGCATTATTTGTTCATAACCCCTCTTTTAACTCTGGTAGGATGATTAAGCTGGTTAAGTTTATTGACTTTTACTAATTAAAGCTTAAGATCAAATTTGACTTCCCTTATATTTTATATCTTTTCATTAAACTTGTGTTAAGAATGATGAAAACAATCTTTCATAATTTGATAAAAAAATCTTGAAAAAAATTGATAATTAACTCTAATATTGAATAGCGTCGTACTTTATTTTAATCTAAACTTTTAAAAAAAATCTCCTCTTTGTTTTTATGAACATAATTTACACAATTTCTCAAATTTAATAATTAAGAACTAATTTATCTTCATGAAACATAACTTTTGTTGATCAAGCATTACAATTAAATATTATAATCACATATTTTATTTGAGAGTATATTTGTATGACTTTTTCAATAACACTTGTGCTAGTGTATGAGAAAGAAAGGGGTGTGGGTACATGAGGACATGTTCGATTGTTAACTTGCACAACTACCCAAGGACGGAGCCAAGGGGAGACCTACGGGTGCCACGGCCCCCCCAACAATTTTAATTTTTTTTTTATATACATATATATTACTAAATAAGAAATAAAGGTACATACTTGAATAACTTGATCTTGCAATATGTTCGATATATTTATCAAATGTAAATATGAGAAATAATTTTTATTAAATTATGTTAATTATTATCTAGTTTTGTCAGATAATATGCTTTTGATACTTTAATTTTCATTTATTATAAATTATATATTATTTATTCTCGGCCCCCCAGTATTGAAATCCTGGCTCCGTCCCTGAAACTACCCTAAAATATGTCTATGGTGTGACCACCAGTTAAATATTACAAGATAGCTTTTAAAACATAGGTCATACATTTTTCTTAAAAGAGTTGCAAATATATTGTCACATTTGTGATCAAATTGGGTTTCATAATTCACTCAAGATTTTTGATTCAATTCTTATCGGTAGTTCTTTATTATTATGTCACTTGAAAGTTTTACTATAAGTCATAAGAGATTAACTCGTAGCATGCCTTCATTTAAGAATAAGAGAATCACGTATCTCCTAAACTTTAGTTCCACCAAAAGAAAAAAAAATGGGTTTCATAAAAGGTATCAAATACATTGTAACTACTACAATACCTCTCGATCGAAAAAAACGTCACACTTTTACTTCTGCTATTCCACTACGTTCTGTTGCAGGATTCATGAACCACTCCAAAAAGAATATTCTAAAACTATGAACAATTATTATCTACCTATTAATGTATTGAAAAAGGCATATCATCTTCCAACAAGAAACCATCTAAGTACAAGTGAAAGAAAAAAAAGAAAAAGAAAAAGAAAGTTTAAATTTGGTAATTTTTTAAGAAATAATTGTCTTTTATTTTATCAGATAAAAAAAACGTATTTCCTTAAAATAATATTGAATTAAACATGCACTAAATACATAAAAGAATTTAAACAGGTGCAACCTAATTACCTATGATCGGTGATTCTGCTTTATCTTTTTCTTCAGCAGTATATATACCTCTTTCAATCTTGAATATGTTTAGTTTTGTCACGGAAGAAACAGAATCTATTTCTAATTTAAAATGTATGGCCAAATGCATGAACGCTTCGCCATCATATTATAACATTTACTTAAATCTAACAATCTTGATCGTGAAACACAATGTGCAATTATGTTTATAATATTTTGTTATCTTCTTCAAAATGATCCAGACATGCCTAACATGTCTGTGCTATGTACTTTTCAATTATACTAACATCATAAAATACTTTATTTCAAAATTTTAATTAATTTATTCCTATACCTTTTTTTTTCCCTTTGGATTCGCCTTTTTTTTTTTTTTTAGAGAAATATGTAAATAAAAAAAATTAAAATGAAGTTACTTTTACATTAGTGGCATTTTGATTCAAGTATGTTACCATAACTGTACCCACCCCTAATTGTAGGGTCACTTTGTTTTTTTTTTTTGTCATTCCTGGAATACACCGCCGACAAGCGTGACTAATCTCCTCGTTACGAGGGAGACACCTCAAAGGTGGGATAGCTGGCCCCAAGATTTAACGAGACTGCATACACAAAGCAGGATTCGAACCCCTGACCTTACTTAAACGTGGATCAATCCCTATCGCTGAACCACACGCTTGGAATTTATGGTCACTTTGTTTAGTAAGGATTAATTTAATTTAGTATATTCTTTTGTTGGATAATTAACTTAGTTCTTTAATTTGTCTATCAGATTACTAAATTATTTAGATCGATAACTCTTTATTATTAATTAAAAAACTAATGCCTTAGTGATACAAATAGATAAGCATTAACATCAAAACTCCTAAAAGAAAAAAAAATGACAAATATTCGATGATTATTCCTAGCCTAAAGAATCACAATATGATCATACTCCAAAACATGTTCTTATATCAAAATTCCATTCAATTTGAAAATTAACCTAAAAGCTTCTTCGTAGTCATAGATTATTAAAAGGCTCGAAGAATATAAATCATGAACACAAAGATTAAGGAAATCAAACTTTATTAATAAACCAATTCAAAAATCCATAAAATCTATTAAAAAACTAGAATTAAGATAAACATGAATATATATATATATATATATATATATATATTATATATATATATATATATTTTGTTGAAACACAAAAATAATGATTATTAAAATCAGATAAATCATCAATTAAATCAAAGTATTAAATTGATGGATTGTTAATTGAATCAATAGATTACTAATTGAATTGTATAAATTAATATATTAAATTTTTATTAAATATATCTTATATAAATAATACTTGTCATGTTTATATTAAGAAATTTAAGTTGGCTTTGTGGCATAATTTTTTTAAAAGGTATGACACCTGATACAAATCTCATGTTTTTAATTTTAATAGAAGAGACCAACCGTGGAGGTCCAAGGAAAAATTCAAATCATATCAGACTTTGCACATCGCATTCAGTTTATTGTAAATTTAATTCGATATATAAGCCAATCAGACTAGATATAAATTCAATTTTTTGTTCAACCAGACAAATCATTCACTCTAAAATTTATAATATTAATAGATAAAATGAAAATTCGATTGATCTTAAAAACATTTTGCACTACATATATAACCGATTTATTTTTGTTTGCTCACATATATAGCTCCATAAAAAGAGAGAGAGAGAGAGAAATTCCAAGAAAAGAGAAAACAAAAAAATGACTTCATATCCATTAAAATGAAATCTTATATATGAGTTTGGACATGTACAATCACTTGACCACAAATCTGAATACCTGTGTGTTTGGTTCCACGTCAACAGCATCTGAATCGCGTAAAAAACGTGAAAATCAGAAGCAAATATTACTTGCTTCTCATCAAATTGACGTGCTTCTGTTCGAAAACATAACTCAATACGCGAATCCAAACACACGCTACATGTTGCTTGAAGTGTAGAATCAATTTTCTACTCCTCAAATTTTATTTGATCATAGACTTTTATTAAAGTATCACAATATTAATTTTTATAAACAATATTGATCCATTAAATAATTTAAAAAAACTAACAAAAATTTATAGTATATATATATAACTTTAATGATGGTGGTGATTGTGATGATGATGGTGATAATGATGAGTAACTTCTTGTTTAATCATAGCAAGAAACATCTCCCTCTTTTGTGTGAAGTACTGAATTGCTAGGTGGTGAGGTGGGAGATTGTGTTTTATAAGAGGAATTTGCAAGAAATTGGCCATCCAAGAGTGAAGGTTAGGAAAGGCATGAGGTGTGATGAACTTGACTCCAATCACATATCCCATGGCAACCAAAGTATGTGCAACCCAACCCAAGGCAAGGTCTGCCAGTCCAATTGTGTTGCCACCCATGAATTTGTTTTCAGCAAGCCCACTTTCCTTTTCTATCACTCTCAAAGTTTCCAAAGTCTCTTTCATTGCTCTCTCTTGTACTTCTCCATCATACCCAAAAAACTTCATCATGTCTACTGTCTGCCAAAAACAGGTCATGGAACTTGTAACTTCATATTATTTGCATTGTGATTCCATCATAAACATAAATGGTAATTTATGGTAAAATTAAAGATTTTTAAATAACTATTTTACTAATTATATGTTTAAGTAATTTTTAGTTAACTAATCTTTACATTAATAATACAAAAAAAAATAATTCCTAAAATGTTAAACTAAATATATTTATGTTTGAGCGAAATTAGATTCCAAATCTTTAAATAAGATCTTGAGTTCAAGTATTGTAAATAAATAAATAATTGAGAAATAAAAGAAATCATAAAAGGTGGTCAATTAATTTCTAAAAAAACCAACATAGCTAAAAAAATATTAAATTTAATCTTAAAAAATATGGAAGTGAACATATTAAAATTTTATTTTTTTGACACCATGAACATATTAATTCTTAAAAATGTAAAAATCTTACTTTAATTCCTAAAAATCATAAATGCAAGTCATATTAATTGATAATTTTTAAGGATTAATGAATCCTTTTGTAAAAAATGAATCCGATATATACTTGTGAATTGTGATTTTAATAATTAACGTCAACTTTTTTTATAATCTCAAAAAGTAATGTCTCTTAGGCTTTGTTTGGATTTGAGGATGGAAAAGGAGGAGTGGAAAAGGAGAGATTTGAAGGGAAAGTGAGTGGAAAATGAGGTTGTTTGGATTAAAGGAAAGTAAGTGGAAAGTGTAGAGAAAATTTGTGAAAGTTTGTGAGTGAATTGATTGATGTGATAGATAAAAATAATTTTTTTAATTGATTATTTTGTAATATTACTATTTTGCCCTTAGGTTAAAAAAAGTTTATAATTATTATAATTAAAAGATAAATATAAAAATTTTAACTAAAAAAATAAATTAAAATTTTAATTT